GAATCATGTAATTCTCGATGGGAGTTGCTGCATCTCATACGCGACACTTGATCCCAGACAAGATTGTACCTAAGCGGCCGGAACTTGATCAAGGGGGAATTCTGCAATGTCGCCCGCCTTAGTAAACACTTTGTAAGAGGGCGTACCCTAGTATATGCGCCGTACTGTCACGAAATATTACAATCCTGGGTAGTCGGGCCTGCATGAATTACTAAGATCAGCTCTTGTAGATGGTCCAGGCAGACAAGTTTGGGGGTATTCTCCGGTGGGCACTCTGCCTAGCGTGCTCACGCATTTTCTGTATGTAGAGTCGAACTGAATTTCAACAACTCGGAATGCCACCCCCTTTGCCTGGTGGTAACACGGGGGACGAAACCCGGCCACGACAGAAGATGCTGTTTTCTCAATTTATTCCAACAAATGCGATGAATGGCCTGACTTTAATAAAGGGCCGATGCCCTTCCTGGCTGCCTTTTTGGTCACGTTGCCAAATATGTTGGCATTTGAGCAGGGGGTGATATCACGGCATGGGAGTTGGCCTCATTCGCCTTGTCGAGGTTTAGTCGGAAGTCGAATCCGGTTTCAACCCGTGGGATGAACGCGGCAGGATTCACATCCACGTATTATCTCGCATGGTGGAGGCGGTCTGGACAACTCCACACGGGCCGTTTTGAGGCCTTTGTCGAAGGATATTCGGGCCGGGTATGAAACGAAGAGGCGAGCACTAGTCAAGGGACATGAAGTTTGGCCGTGCGGGATGTTGGCAAACGACTGATTGAAGCTGGGCGGCCAGGATTAGAAAAAGGTGGAGCAGCTAGTAAAAATGGTGGCGAATCAACGCTGACCTTTGGCTGCCCGGCGGGGCTCCCACCTTTGCAGCCTGAAGCTTGAGGCGACCGTTGAGATCAAGGCAACGACGTCGATGACATTGAGTCACTGGCTTCGTTGACTACTGACCGTTTGCCAACCGAGTTTTTGAGCTTGGTACGCTTGCGCAACGGGAAGCTCTCGCTCGGGAATGCCTAAGAAACGAAATCGCATCAAGCCTTTCAAGCCATCCCTAGCGACGTCGACGACGAGTTCATCGTCGTCCTCTGGTTCTGGTGGTTGTGAGTCTCCTCCAGTATAGCCATAGCCCGAATGACGCTGATACTTACCGTCGGCCAGATAAAGCCTCCAAGAGCGTGAACGAACTTCTTGCAAATCTACGGCTCGCAGGTGCAGGACCGTCGTCTTCGCCATCTCTGCCGGCGACTTCGCCTAGCGTTCCACCTGCCATCAGGGAGATTCTTCAGATCCCCGAGACACCATCGCCTGCTCCACGGCGACCTCTTCGTCAAAGATTTGACAGCCATGGCCGCAGACTACCTGCCGGCCCAGCGCCACCTCGCAGCTGGCTGTTAGGAGGGCGCGAGGATGGCAATGTCTCAAACTCACTCTCCCGGTCGCTCCGCGTGAGTTATTCTGGCGTTGACAGATCCACACTGCCAGGGGCACCGCTACCGCAGCCGGGCAGTTTGATTGATCTCACTCTCAGGCGCCTGGCTGCAGACTGGGACATTCATCGCGTTTTTAATCAGTATCATCTATACTTTGTGCCTAGTCACCTCAAGCCAGCTCTTATTCGATATGTTGGCGTTGCGTCAGATAGTGGCGTATCGATCTCTGACTTGAGGGTAATTCTACAGCCGCCTGAGAATGTATTCAGCGACGAGGAGTTGGATGGTCAGTCTGGAGCAAACTCTGAAATTACCTGCTTGGACCTCTCAGCCTCGATTGGCAAGTCTTTGAAGCTGAAAGACGTAATCGATGTCCTCTTCAGCGTCGTCGAACCCAACGCTATTGATGAACCTCAAGATTCTTGGGAAACTGTCGATACCAGCCCGAGCCCTCCGCGCCTTTTGCTTCCCAACTTGACGCATCTTTCGCTGGCCCTGGATCCCAGAGGCCCTCGAGACGTCTCGTGGAAGCAACTTTTGTCATTGTCGTCGAAGCTGCCTTCAGTCACGCATTTGAGTCTGGCGTATTGGCCAGAGCCTTGCTTGACTCCGTGGGCTAAATTTTCTACTGTCTCGTCGCCTCAAGGCCGTAATATACCGTACGCCGGCACAAACTATTATTCTCATTCGCTAGATCATGACTGGAGCGAGGCACTTCTGGTGTTGAGAATGCTTAGCAAGAACTTTTACAAGTTGGAGTTTTTAGATCTCACTGGATGTGCCACGTGGTTCAAGGCGCTTCATTTGAAAGACGGCCATGATTACATCGATTGGTCTGGCTCTTGGGGCAAGCTGACGCTTTTGTGGCTTTACACGGGTTGGGCGCCCGGTATTGATGCGATGGCATCAGATCAAGCAGCATACACGTCAGCCATTGACACGGCAAAGTGCATTGAGAGACATATTGTCGCTATGAGGGCTGGCAAGGGGCGTTTCATCACTGTGGAGAGGGATAAGACAGAAGCTGAGAAATGACACGCTTGGATAGCCCATAGAGATTATATGTTGAGCGTCGGAATTGACCTGCGTGCATGGCTGGGTTCGCCGCAAGACTGTAAAGTAGCATCAAGGTGGTTAGCACTCCATAGCGCTTTTGAACTTGCCCGTCTCGTGAAGCGGTTCTCGTGGGATTTTCCCAATCCCCATCAGTTTTCTAATCCACGATAACTACTTTGACGTGGTTGATGACAGTTTATTGCCGATGGGCTATGGATAGAATAGTGTGGTTCTTGAACTGATTTTCAGTCGTGCCACGCACCATCTTCTCCGTATCCCTATCGACGCTGAAACAGACCGGAGCTTCTATAATCAATCAGTCACAAAAAAATAACATAAAAGCCGTACCTGCTCGTGGCTTCCTCCGGAAGCACGACTCTACCGGCACGCCTCCTCAACACAGCCCTCGTCACAAAAAAAACTGCTTTATTCATTGCTCAGCATATCCTCTTTAAATCTTGTATCCAGCCCTTGTGCTTTGGCGTCGATAAACTGCCCAAGACGAACCCAGTGTGAAGTCTCGGCGGTGGAATCGGTTGTGTATACTTGGAAGGGGTCAATATTCTCGCCAACAGTGCCGGGAAGAACAAAACTGGTGTTAGGTCGCGGCGATGATGCGCCTACACAGGGTATCACTCGGCCTCGAGGATAGAGACTCGGGGTCCATGGTGAAGCCCCAGACGCGAAAGTGAGGAGATGGAGCAATGTAAGCAGCAAAGAGCATCTACCATTGCCAAAAGTCCAGTTCTGACTGCGTCGTGGTTCTGTAGAAAGGAGACTTGTCTGCCTGTTCTTGCGCACATAGCAACTCTTTTGCCGGCACCAAGCTCCGAACTCACTTCATCCCGTCCGTACAAAGAAGACGAATCTTGAGCCATGATGTGTCGCTCTCGGCGGCAGGATACTCCTCCTCTGTCTCCTCCGCAGACTGCTTTATTCGCGCTACTGCTCCTCCCAGCGCCTCGCCCAGCGGAATCAGCTGGACTGGCGAAACTCCCACCAGTCCCACAGACATGGATCCCCTCAAGTACAAGTTTACAACATGGCAAAACTGACGACCAGCAATGCCAGCACGGCGGTTGTCAAATCGAGAACAACGACGAGCAGCGATGGGAATGGCTTCTGGGAGCTGTCTCCCAGGTCGTTGTTTTTCAAGACGGCAGGATGAGACGACCAAAGGCACGGAGTAGAGGGTAAAATCGGGTGCCAATGGGCACCCATAAGTAAGATGGGGAGTAATTTCATGGTACCCATTTCAGACCCTAGTCCCTCGTATGTAGTATATGATGGCTTATTAATATATCTTCCATGTCTCTGACAGGCACCCATTTGTACTTTATTTAAATCCCTGGGTTTTCCTTGGGTACCTGATTCTACCCACGGGTCCCTTACACCTTGGCACGGAATGTAGAGAGCCCGCTCGGCGTTGGTGGAAATAGAGGCCGCTGAGAAAGCGGACACCGGTGGCTAGTACAAACAAACATGAGGAGCTTGGCAGAAATGCCCGTCCAAGCTCCAAACCAAGGAGGCCTATTACTAATTAGGAACCCAACCCCGGCAGCCCGTGGTCAGGGACGGCGCGACCCACGCATAAACGGCGCGGCCACACTCGCCGCCCGTCTCTTCGGGCGCCGCCTTCTCTGCGCCTCGGACCCGGCCGCCCGGCTTCTCTCCGCGGCCTGACGCCGGGGCCCGGCACCGACGCCGAGGACAAACCGCGACTTGTGCGCAGACCACAGCCTCGAGCACCAGCAGAGCCGCAGCGGCATGCTTGGGTGACGGGCCTGAGGTTGGGGCGTGAGGACATGTCGTGACTCGTGAAACGGACAAGGAATTCATTGCCGTGGGCGACGGTCTGTGACTGCAGCCAAACTGCACGAGGTCGGCACGCGTTGCACCGAGCCCAAGTAATCGACTGGGTTGAAATTTTCTTCTGTGCCCATACTAGTACCTGTAAATCATATTTTCATTGTACGGCGCACGGAGTACTGTATTTTCTCGGCCAAGCAGCTTTTGCGACTTGTGGAGATTTGACTTTCCCGATTCGGCTTCGGCGTGAGTCACGAGCCGGCTGGACTTGGTGCGCCCAATGACCAGTGCCGGATTCTCAGGAGATGGCATCAGACTGTACCACATGTATGCCGAGCAGACTCTTGAGATGAAGGGTCGGCATCGCCATCTTGAGATTGGAAGCCGGGGTCCTGACGTCGCCTTTTCCGCTTTTTCAGCGTTTCATTCCAGGGATCGACGGACATCTGCCATCGGGACGAATGGCCCGCCGTCTGGTGAATGAGATTTACCAGCGACTTGCTTCTCCATATAAAGCCTCCATGGCATCTTGCCCTCGACGACTTACACTTGCATTCCGCAGCCACAGCCGCTTCATGAGCCCTCTGCTTTCCTTGCACATATTTCTTTGTACTTGCTTCATACACTCTGTGTGTCCTTGACGGCTGCGTTTCCATTTTTCATTTTTATTTTTATTTTATTTTTCCTTGGACCACAATGACGTCCATGGCGGCGGAATCCGCCACCACCATCCTCTGCACTGCCAAGCAGACGCGATTCCATATCGAGTCGCCCAACTACCGAGAGGTATTTCACAGCTCTCTTCAACTTGGCGTTGCGAGTGTTATTTATTGTCCGTCTGCTAACCCCCCTCCACAGCTCGACGTTCAAGGTCTGCACATCCTCGTCACATCAGGCGAGCAGGCTTCGTCCACTGCAAAGGCCAAGTCCAAGCGCTCCGATGGTCTTGAGATTTTGTCCAATGCAAAGCTCCTCCTGAAAGAAGGACAGAGATATGCACTCGTCGGCCGTAACGGGACTGGAAAGTCCAGTACGCTTCCATCCCTTCCGCCCTCTTTTTGCCGCCCAGTCGCCACTAACCATTCACCTTTCTGCGCAGCCTTGCTGAGAGCTATTGCGGACAAGCTCATTCCCGGCATCCCTGAAGGCACCAGGATTGCCATCTTGCAGCAGACGAAGCTGACGGACGATGATGGTGATGAAAATTCCCGCCAAGGCCGGAAAGCGGAAGCCAGTGTGCTCCAGGAGGTCATTGACCGGGCGACGGCGAGGGATACCATCGAGCAGGAGATTAAAGGTAAGACCTCACGATTTTTCTTCTTCTTAAAAGCCCCGTAAAGTGACCCTTTGCTAAAACCCCCCCAGCTCTTTCCGACGGTGTTGATGCCTCGGATCCATTCGGGCCTGTACGAGCCTTGCGGTCCCTTAAGCATCATCGTTTGCAGAAGCGCCTCTTTCGCATGGACAAGGAGGCCAGGCTGAGAAGTGGTGCTCGAGGAATGCAGGCCAGAAAGGCCCTGGTGGCGTTTGAAAAGGTCGTTGCCGATTCAGATGTCATGTACGTTTCATGAGATTTCCGCATGTGAACAAAGTCGGTGCATCTAACCTTGTGCTCAGGATCAACCAGTCAAGCGACGAAATCTCACCCGAAACACTGCAGGCAGAAACCCAGGAAGCCGCAGACATGCTCGCCGAGCTCCAGATCCAGGTCGAACCGTCGCGCATCGCACAAATCGAGACCAGGGCCAGAACCATCCTGACGGGCCTCGGATTCACCGAGGAGCGCATGGGCAAGCCCATCTCCAGCATGTCTGGAGGCTGGCACATGCGAGCAGCTCTGGCAACGGCCCTGCTGCAAGACGCCGACATACTGATCCTCGACGAGCCGACCAACTTCCTCGACTTGCTGGGCATCGTGTGGCTGCAGCGGCACCTGCAGCATCTCGCGGAAGGGGACCGGCCGCCTACCGTCATCATGGTATCGCACGACCGTGACTTCATCTCCGTCTGCACTGACCTGATGATCCTCAAGGAGAAGCAGCTGACCTATTTCCACGGCGACCTGCCGACGTACGAAGCCTCCCAGGCGGAGCGCAAGCTGTGGCTCAAGAAGATGAAGGCGGCGCAGGCCAAGCAGCGAGCGCACATGGAAAAGACGATTGCGCAAAACATCAAGGCCGGCAAGGCCAACGACGACCAGAACAAGATCCGCCAGGCCAAGTCGCGCCAGAAGAAGCTCGACGACCGCATGGGCCTGCAGGTCAGCGCCAAGGGCCACCGCTTCAAGCTCAACCGCGACATGGTGGGATACTTCCACACGGCGCGCGAGGACATCGACGTGCCCCCCGAGGAGCGTCCCGTCGTCATCGCCCTCCCGGAGCCTCCGGACCTGCGGTTCCCCGGCTCCCTCCTGTCCCTGGACAACGCCTCGTACCGCTACGGCCCGCGGCTGCCCCTGGTCGTCGACGGCGCCAGCCTCACCGTCGGCATGGGCGACCGCATCGGCATCCTCGGCCTCAACGGCTGCGGCAAAACCACCCTCGTCAGGATGCTCGTCGACGAGGCGCGCCCGACGGCCGGCAGCGTCACCACCCACCCGCGCCTCAAGCTGGGCTACTACTCGCAGCATGCTGTCGAGGCCATCAAGGCCGTGGGCAGGGCGGATCCCGCCCTGACGGCCCTGGGGCTCCTCACCCGCGAGGTCGACGGCCAGATGGGCGAGGGTGAGATTCGCGGCCTGCTGGGCGAGCTGGGCCTCCCCGGCCGCGTCGCCTCCGACACGCCCCTGTGTAAACTGTCGGGAGGGCAGCTGGTGAGGTGCGAGCTTGCCCGCCTGTTCTGGAGGCGGCCGCACTGCTTGATCCTCGACGAGGTCACCACCCATCTGGACTATGAGACGGTGACGGCGCTGCGGGTCGCGCTGGATGGCTGGGACGGCGCCGTCGTGCTGGTGAGTCACGATAGATGGTTTGTGAGGGGGGTCGTGGAGGGTAATCTGGATGACGACGGGGATGATGGCGAGCAGAGCGACGAGGAGGGCGAGGCGGCGCCGCGGAGGAGGATCGTGTACAGGTTGAAGGGGGGCAGCATGACGCCGCTGGAGGGTGGTGTTGAGGAATTTGAGAAGTCGATGGAGAAGAGGGTGAATAAACTAACTGTGCAGTGAGGAGCTGGGCTGGGCAATTTTTTATTTTTTTTGTAGATGCTGCATCGTTGTTGGGGGTAGAACAATGAGCAATAGTGACTTGGGATGCAAAATGCCTTGTATCGCGAATATTGCTGTTTTTAATTTCACAATGACATTCTCGCATATTGGTTAATGACGGAAGCAAAATGCACATCATTTGACTCTTGACTATACTACTCTCGCAAGCTGGCTAACAACGTGAAGCAAAATACCGCTCCATCCACAAACAATCAATCATACGCGAATCCCCTCCAGGCATCGCAACTCGTTCGTCTATATTCCGTATGCCGTACCCCTGCCATCTACAAGACAAACAGCATCAAGCGCGAGCCCCTTCGTCAACCAAGACCCGAAGCAATTCTCTACTCGCCCTCGCCACGCTCATCCCCCCGCCCCTCGCAACCTGCACAATCGTCCCGTCGACGCAAAACACCCTCCATCTCTCGTCGTCCTCGCCACTGACGATCCTCACCTCCCCAACCTCTTCGTACCGCACCCTCTCGCCATCATCCCACTTCACGTCCACGTGCTTGCCCCCGTCGTACGCCTTCATCATCGCCTCCATGGCCCTGTCGCCACCGACCGCCCCAAAATGCACCAGGTGCAGCTTTCCGTCCAGCGGCCTCGAGGCGGGCGAAATCGTGAAATTTCTCTCCAGATTCGACACCATCGACACCAATATGTACCCGTGGGTCTCGTGCGCATCTCTCTCAAACGTGTCCTCGGACGCGGCGGCCGAGGAGGGAGGCCGCACGTCCAGAGCGGCCTTGTACGGGTGGGACAGCTTCAGCAGCTCCTGCGCGACCATGCCGAACCGTTTTGCCCCGTGCGCGCGGTACGCCGGCGTGTCGCTCTCGTAGACGATGCTCGCGTGGAAACCGTGGCTCGCGACGATGGCGCCGTAGAGCGAGGAGACTTGCCGCCGGTGCGGGAGCTGCAGGGCGGCCTGGCTGCCGTCGGCGTGGGCGACCATGTGCGAGCCCGGCGTGAACTTGGCCTCGAACACGGGCAGATTCGCCGCCGCGCCGAGGAAGAGCGTGCGGAGGGCGAGGACGAGCGGCGTCGGCCCAGGCGTGGTTGCGCATGGCTTGTGCAGGGAGTGAAAAAGGGCATTTCCTGTTCCGAGCGGGAGCAGCGCCATCAGCGGCAGCGGCGCGTCGGGGACGGGCTCGCGGCCATTCAGGAGGTCGGCAACGCCTCCGTCGCCGCTGAGCAGGATGATGGTTCTGGCGGCGGATGGTGGCCCGTCGATGGTCTTGGCGTATTGCCGGACGCTTTGGGCATCTTGCGTGACGACGAGGTTGTACTGCTCGACGACGGGGTGCGATGACGCGGATTGGAGGAGCGGCTGCAGCGCGGCCTGCCAGAACGATTGCGCGCGGCCTGTGCCGGACTTTGTGGAAACAATAACGTCGACTTTGTTGCTGGGCGTGGGTTGCAAGTGAGGCGGAATGCCGTTGATGAGATGGCCATGACGAAGCTCTGCTGGTATCGCGTCGGTCTGGAGGAGGTCGAGCTGGAAGGGGTGTGACTGGGCATCAGCGTCCTCTCTCAGAACGTAAACAATGTAATTTGGCCGTTGGGCAGTGGAAAAGTCTATGGTGAAGACAATCTCGTGAGTTGACACGCTTTCCTCGGCGTCATCGAGGTCTCTCCACGAGAGAGTCGCATCTGTGACTTGGAGGCTGCGGACTGACTTGGGAGTCGGATGCCCCGCGTTGAGAGACATGATGGCGGGGCTGCAGTCGCAAGTGAGAAAAACGCCGCGAGGTCACATGGACAGATGGAAATGATGGCAAGCACGCAGATGATGGTGTAGATGGATTGATATGTGGTACAAGATAGGCACCCAAGTTGGCGAATATTCCCTCCAACCTCCAACACGCTGGATGTTTGTGGTAAGCACCAGGTGCAAGCACGTCAACAGCCCCAGTGTGGAGAGGGGGGGGCGCGGTGATCCCCGACTTCAGAACTGGGCCTTTGGATAATCCGCTAACCATCACGATGCTCTGCTTGTTGACTTTGCCAAGGCCATGTTCGATCCCACTTCATATACAATACACGGTCATGGCATCGACAATTCAACCCTTGGCTCTTGTCATGGGGCCCCAATACTTGTGAGGGTTGACCTGGTACCTCATGTACCGAGTGCCTTTCTGACGACCAAGCTGTATCAAAGCGTCATCAAATACGAGCGTCTTTCGCAACTCTTCTTCAGTCAGCGGCTCTTTCTTTTCCCCGGCATTGTCCTCTGCTTCAGTCCTTTCTAGCACCTTCTCGTCCTTTTGCTGTTGCTGTTGCTGTTCGGTGCCTTCCATCTTGATGTCGATGCTCTCCGGCCCTTGGCTACCGTCCGACTTCGCATTTTCGTGCCCAACAATTCCAGCGTCATAGAGAATCTTCCATCCAGGCATGGACTCCTTGAATTTGGACACTTTTACTGGTGACTTTTGCCTGATCCACTCTGTCAAAACCCACCAAATAGTTGACCATGGCGCGTCAGTCTTGATGCTGCCTGGGCGGCAGTGGCTTCTACCCGCTTGATAGCCCAGATGCATGAGTGCGCCTCGAAACATGTCATCAGTCGGGGTGGAACACGATAAAATGCTCGAGACCTTTCCAGGGATAAAGAAGAATGGCGTGTGGTCAACGACCGCAGCTTCTGCGTCTTTAGGGTCGACATCCGTGGGCAGTTCAGGTCCCGGTATGTATTCCTCCAAGGCAGTCCGCAACATACCCTCCAAACGAGACAATGTTCCATATGTCTCCGGGGATGCCTTGGGTATTTCGTCGAGCATACGGTGAATAAAGTCCTGGTTATGGATCCTACCGCCATACATGGGTCCGCTGACATGCATCTTGAAGCCGCAATGCTGGCAAAGGCGATCAGTACTCGGGCCTTGAGCCATTGTGTGCTTGTAGAAGGATCCGATTCCCTTTTTATTGGGGAATGGCCGGCTCTTGAGGATTGGTTGCGTCTCCCAAGAACCGCAGCCTTGGTCGCAACTATACACCAACATCGTTTTCGCTCCCAAAAACTTGACCGCCGACGGTGATTTCGTGACTCTGATAAAGACCTTTGTATAGAAATCAATCGATAGCGACAACATGGGCTCAATTGCGATACCGTATCGCGCTCCAGAAGTTGCGACGGCGTTCAGGATAAGGCGCAAGGCTGCCTCGTGGGAGTGCATTCCTTTGACAGGGACACCGCCATACAAGGAAAAGGTTTTTTCGCAATAGCTGTGGCCGGCCCAGACGGCACTGTCTGTACAGGTGATGACAAGCAGGCCACCATCATCACGAACAGACTGGACAGCGGCGTCAAAAAACGGAGCAGCTGTTCCATACGGGTCGAGGTCGATAACATCAAACTTGTGTGATTTGCTAGGGTTGCCGCGTTTATCTCTTCTCGAAAGATCCGACGCAATAGACCGGTACATGAGGGCTAGGGCGTCATCATTAGTGACGGTAAATTTACCCGCTACACCATTGTGGTCGGCATTGACTGCTATTGATTCCGCAGCGGAGGCAGACAGGTCATTGGCGGTAACAGATGTAACAAAAGGAATTTCCAGGGCATATCTCAAAGCTCTCAAGCCCGATGCTGATAAGGCGTCAAGGATCTTGAATGAAGGCTTGTATGTGTGGCCATTTTCCGCCTTTTCTTTCTCTAGTTGCTGCTGCTCCGTGGCTTGTGTGGTTGCTTCTTCGTTGTCTTGTTCTATCTCATCTCGCTTTCGCTTCTTGCCTTGTTTTACATTTTTTGAGTTGAAAGCTTCAACTCGCTTCTCCAATAGCATCTCCCCATACACCTTGACTACCAGCGTCGACAAGTCGCGATTGTACTGCTGTATTGGATTGTAGAAGACTTGCTGTTCCTCAGTCGTGTCTTGGCCGGCTTTCGTTTCATGGGGAACCAGAATCGTAGCTTTTCCCTCTGTGATGGTCTTGAACTGCTTACCGTCCCGCTCAATGATGTGCACTGGGGGCGCTTCGTCCGCCATCATTCGTGAGGTCGACGATATTGTCCTGGAAAGCAAAGGTGGAAGCAGGTGACGCAATCGTGTGAGCGTTGTGCGATAGGCAGATGTAGGCGCCCCCAGTCTATGGCTGATATTGGCGCGAAAGATGAAACCGAGACGCCGCATGCAAGCAGGCTGTTTGAATTGGGCGCAGCAAATATTGGCAGAATCACTGGTTGAAGCTATTCTCAGCCACTATGACCAAATTTTTGGAATTCTGCCGTTGTCAGAATCTGAGCGGTGAGAAGAAACTTGCTTTGAGCTTCTCTGTCTGTCACCCCCACCAGCTGTTCGTTCCAGAACCCCCCCACCTACAGCCAAGAACGCTAACATCCCATTTGATGCTGCAAAGTTGTTCACTTCATCCATGTCTTACCAGTGTACTCCGTACAGGCTACTATATCATGTCTTCATACCGATGCAGCGAGCCACTTCTTCGTACCTGTTTATGGTTAAATAGACTTTGATGCCTGAATTTGCAATAGAATCAGCCTAGCCATGGCCACCTCTTGCGCGATCCTGACTCCTGAGGCAGCGCTCAATGTTACAGACCGCACCTTCCCACACTCGAATACCATTCGAATTCAATGGCTTTCAGGAAGGCACGAAGTCGGCTATCTGGGAAGGAGGGCACTGGGCTCATTGGATTTTATTTTACGCCCGTACTCGAGTATAAACTGATCAGTCGTCTCGAGTTTGAATCCCAACATCAGCAGTCCATTCGTTCCATATTCCAGGTCTCGGAATATTGTTATCCTATAGTGTCATCTTTATGTCCCTGTATTCAAGATACCCATTGTGGCATTCACCTTAGACGATTACACCCGCAAAATGGCCAGCAAAGTCAAACCTGGCGTCACGTCCACGGGCATCATCCCTGTTATTCCTCCAATTCCCCTTTCTGTTCCAGCTCAAGGTAGTAGAGGTAGTAATCCTCGTAAGGATCCTTCCGAGGGCAAAAACAGAGAGAGCGTACCAACAAAGCTCGATCATTCTCTCCCCATTACTCACGACCCAAACGCTCATCAAAAGATTGTTCGTCACCGGTTTCTTTCCTCCGCAGAGTGGACAGTCATTGCCAACGGCATTGGCGGACTAAAAGATGGCGAAAGCCACCAGCCGACCCATCCTACACATTGGCTATGGCCATCACTTGGCATGCCTCGAGGGCTGTATCGCGAGGTTGTTGCGCACAAATATCGGTTTTATCTCCTATTCCACTTCACCAGTGTTCTCCGATGGATGCTCATGGTCGTTCAGCTTCTGATTGGGGCGGCCCTGACGGCTCTGGGTGCCATGTCCCTGGTAAATGGAACGCCCATCACAATTCTCGCCGCTGTCAACACTGCGATGGCTGGGTTTCTTGCACTTCTGCACAACAGTGGTCTTCCAGATCGATACCGGAACGACATGGCAGAGTTTGAAGAAATCGAAGATCACATCAAGGAAGTATTAAACTCAAGCATCGTTCCCGCCGGTCAGACTGCTGAACAAGTTCTTGCTGAATTCTTTGACCGGTACCGTGAAGCCAAGTCGACAGTTGCAGTGAACATGCCCGCGAATTATGCCTCAAAACAAATGCTTTCGCCCGAAAAGCAGATCAACAAGGGAAGCTTTAATCCAGGACCGGGAACGGGACCAGTTCCAGCGAATAGAAACGTCAAAGGGTCCTATGCTAATGTCCACTCTGGCACGGATAACGGCGCCCAGGCATAATTTTTTATCAAGATTGACGCAAGTTTGCCACGTCTTTCCAATGTTCCTCTCGTCACATCCCTGCAAGGCGATAGCACTAACGGCATCGAAAAGACCATCAAACCATCTCTCTTCTCCGACGTCGAGTTTGCTGTTGTATTTGCTGGGTGAATGGTGATCCCTTTGCACCAGATCGCCGTGTAATCCCATAAGGTTGATAGATTGCCTCGATGATAATACCCGTACGGCGCATGAAAAAGCCAGCGAAAACGAGGTAGTCAGCCAAGACGGAGGGACACGACTTTGCGGCATAATCTTAATCCTCTTTTGTACTCCGCCCATGCCCGTGTACTCTGTCGCAAGGGTATCCACGGCGGGACTGTTAATCTGTTTATTAAAAAAATTCTGCGACACAATTTGCATGAGAAAAGCGGCATGGCGAGGGATTTGCAGACACAGTGGCTGATTCCGCCCATTGTTGGCAGGAGTTCGACTGATCTGCCTTCTCCCGTGACCAGGGGTTTGTCAAGAACCAGCAAGGATCTGCCTCAACCAGTCCTCGTCCCACACCCACATGCTATCCACCTAGGTACCTGGTCGGTTTCATGTATTTGGTTTGCTGTTTGTCTGGCCACAGTTGGCTCATCCGTCCACGACAAGGTGTACAAGCTGTACTTTGTAACTTACTTGGAGAGGAATGAAGGAGGAGGGCCCTCGCTCATCAATTTCAAACTTGTCTGTTTAAAAGGGATAGCTAATCCCGCATGCACCAGCCGTCTATCTATCTCTCCTACTAGCTACTACCTAGTTGTAGTCAAAAAACCAGCGTTGCGTTGTTCAACAGAGCACGCCCAGGCCAGTCTGTTCCCGCGGCCTCATGTCATGACGAGCTGTTTGTGGCCTTGTCCTCGTCACTATGTATTTGATTCAGTCATAGGTTCCTTTTCTTCCTTCGGCTTCATCTGAGTTTGCAGCTCGGCGCTGCTTTTTTCTGGAACCACCATGTTGCTTTCCAAAGGCATGCCGGTGCTCCAGGTGAGACTGAGCTACCTTCTATTGACTGCAGTAACTGTTGGTTTCCTATTTCATGCCACGACACTTCATCAACAAGGGCAGACCTTTACGGTTGATCTGCCGGACTCGACCCCAGTTGGGGATCTTTTGCCAGAGGAAGAATACTTCGAGAGGCTCATTGACCGCTATGTACTTACCAACTTGACGAAATGGCAAGCTTGGAGAGTGCAAACCTCTGACAAGCCCTTGACCATTGGTTCAATTACCGATGTACACACAGACTTTCAGTCAAACCGGGATGCTCCGAAAGTCATCGATGTCAGCAACCCTAGCCCTACCGATTTGCACGCGTCAAAGGGGTTGGAGCTTGCAACTTATACCGACGAGGCACATGATAGACTATACGCATCACCGCTCATGTTCGGCGTATCCACTACGTATAAACGAATCACTGAAAAAGATTGGGCTATCCTACGAGCATGGAAACGTTGGTTGACCAAAGGCGACGGAACCAGCAACGGCGCCACTCTAGTTCTCATGCTTGACAATGCCACCGAGGAACAACTTGATGAGATTGACAAGGAGCTTGAAGAAACGGGTATTGATGTATACACAACTTCCACCTCTGAGGCCACATCTAAAAGCCGGAGATATTACGAATTGATTCGGGTCATGAAATCATATGGTGCCACCATCGCCGCAAGTGGCCAAGAGAAGCATTGGTTCGCAGTCATAGAGGACACTGTCTTTTTCCCGAGCCTATCCTACCTCAAAGAACGACTTTCAACTTTCGATTTCAGCAAGCAGTTGTATCTCGGTATCCCTAGTGAAAAGATGCTCTGGCATCAAGACGGCGGATCTGCCACAACATACGGTGGAGGGGCGATATTCTTGACCAAGGACGCCGTATCTTTGATTCCCAAGCTACCTTGCTTGAGAATCGACGCAGCCGCTAAGCCCTCCTTTCATGGACAGAGATGGGATGCGATGTTGAGGCGGTGTCTTGAGAAGCAGGCAGGCGTTGACATGCATGTCATTCCAGCACTCCACCCACCGCATGATAGTCATGAAGCCCGTGTCGAGAGCCACGAAACTGGCACACGACCGCTGTTGCTACACGACTATGCATACCCACACCACCTCGATGTGGGCATGGCACACTTGGTGACTGACGCGTGTGGTGAGGCATGCTTCATGCACCAATATTTATTCCACGACAACTGGGTCATCACCAACGGCGTGTCGATAAGCCACCACCCTGATGGACTCGGTCACCGCCACCGCCACAAGGCCTTGGTGAAAGAAATGTTTAAAGATACCCGGAAGACTGCTATTTCCGATCAAATAGTCATTGACGAAGACGAGGTTGAGAGAAGGTCATTGAACTTGACAGGGCAGCGGAGAGACATATGGGGGCTATTGGATTCAGTAAAGGCTTCCGACGGAACAGTATGGCAAGCTTATATGAAGAGGGGAGTGAGGTCCACGAAGGCGGACAAGGAAGAGTCGGACGGACTCAGGGAACTTGATTCCGTTATTGTCTTGATTTGGGAAAAGAAACAGCGTTAGCTACTTGTTTGGTTACCACTGGCGTTTTGGACAGGAGTTGGTAGCAGCTGGCCTGAGAATGGTTTTTTTTTTTTTTGCCTCTTCAAATTGTTCTTGAGAGATTCCGAGGGTCCAGGCCATCTGCTGTATACACCATATACCAATTACAACATCTTCTTGTTCTTCTTAATGTGGTTCCCCTCCGCGGCCGTCAACCCGTAGTACATCTCGCCGGCGGCATCACCAAACTCATGGTCCCCCAGCACTCCTTGTCCTCGGCCAAGGCCAGCATGGACGTGTTGGTAGCCGTGGTAATGACGGCGTAAAGGCGCAGTCCATGACCTCGTCCGCATACCCATTGATTGCCCCGGTACGCCTCGTCGACGACGACTCCGGCGTCGCCGCCGCGGACTTTGCCGGCATCCCTCCCCCAGCAGCTCAATGACCCTGTCGGCGTGCTCGCTTGTGAGCGCCCAGCAGTGAGCACCATGGTCACCCTCCCCGGCCCGCTGGCGACCAGCACCGCACCATCATCATCAGGTCCATCTGGCACGGCCGCGGAGTCTCGCTGCGGCGGCAATCAGCTCCTCTGACCGCGACACGGAAGGCGGTCAAAATGGCCATAGTGCCTAGGCGCATCGCGCGGCTCGATGGTGCGCAGCGCAAGGGGCAGCGTCCGCGACTCCATGCGCTCGTAGAGGTGCTGCGCCTGCATTGTTTCAGAAGGCTATGTTGTACATACATACATAGGCTTCTCTGCGGGATCTGGACGCTCGTCTTGCGGCCGGGACGCAGGGATGTTTCTTGCGTCCGTGTCGGGTCTCGGGTGGGATGTTCCCATTGACCAAGCGCTTTAAAGATAAAAATACCCCGGGAGCTTGTTGGCGATTGTGTCAGAATTCATGCGCTAACACGAGTCTGCAATTCTCCGTTGGTTTCAGACGGAGGGTGGGGGATGCGCAAGCCTGCTCGGTAAGCGGGATATTGGGATGTAACTGGGGTGCCGGCATGGAAGTCGGGGTACTCTGTCGTAGGGACAGGATTTTCCCTTCTTTTCTTTTCAATCCCATCATCATATGGCGTGAGCGGTATTGCGTCTGTGTTTCAAGTGTACATGTGCTCCGTGTGGTGACGCGGACGCTGTTGAAGTAACTGCCTGAATAGGCAATAGCCACGACGGCACTGCGTCTGATTGGCTGGTTTGTGAGTCACTGAGTCGGCTGTGTGCAAGTCATTTGCGCATGAATGATTGTCATGTACAACGGAGGCTAGCTGGAGGATGGGGCGTCGATGGACGGATTTTCGCAGACTTTCTTGAGTCTGTAAAAGATGTCATTCGGAATTCCGACAACGAAGGCCCGTGTGTGGTGCAAGATGGGCTTGATGCTGAGGGGACGACAAGACATGCCATGGCTGGCGTTGATCATGAAATAATGAATTAATATTACAAATTAGCCAAGACTTTTTCTAAAGCGTAATCAGATAATTACGGCCCCTTTTACTCGTCACGCGACAACCTCGGAATCCAAATACCCCCGTCCGCGCTTTAAACACTTGCCATCTGCATCTGCATCACCATCACCACCCTCCCTCCAGGTAAACAGCCACATAATCAACCTCCATGCTCGCGCCATCGCCATCAAGAGTGTCGGACGTGGGCGTCGTGATGCCCGAGACACCGTTGGGAAACCCGCCGCCAACAGCAACATTCAACAGGATCATCTTGCTATTCGCGGCCATGGCGTGCCACGCACCGGCATCGCGCACATCGTCCTCCCACAGCGTCCACTGCAGATGCTCATCCACGTACCAGCGCATCGACTCCTCGTCGTCGCCCGACCGGTCCACCTCCCACGCAATCGTGTGCCAGACCCCCCGCTCAAAAGGTTCGGTGATGTGGCCAAGGCCATTGGGCTCGTTGCACACGCCGCCCGGGTTCGTGCCGCAGTGGGCGACGTGCCAGATCTTACGGAGGCCGTTGACGCTCTCGAGAATGTCAATCTCCCCCACGGCCGGCCAGTTCTGGTAGTTGCCGCGGTACTCGGAGCCCAGGGTCCAGAACGCGGGCCAGATGCCGAGCGACCTGCCCTCGGGGTTGTCGCCCAGCTTGATCCGGGCCTCGACGCGGAGGCGCTCGCCGCGCGCGCAGGCAAAGTCCCAGTCGGCCGTGGTCTCGATGCGCGACGAGGTCCACGAGTTGCCGTGGCCGCGGACGGGCGTGATCTTGAGCGTGCCGTCGGCCGTGATGCGGATGTTCTGCCAGTCGTCCGTGTACGTCTCGATCTCGCCGGTGCCCCATTGCGCGGGCCCCCCGTCGTACCGCGTGCCCAGGTCGATGGTCCATCTCGACGCGTCGGGCAGCGAGTCCTCGTCCCCGTCGAAGTCGTCGTAGAAGATGCAGTTCGAGAATCCCGCGGGGGTGTTGGGGGCGGCTTTGGCGACGCGGCCGTGTGGCGCCTGGCCCGCGCTCAAGACGAGCTGTGCGAATATCGCCATGACAGAAGCGGCGTGGCCCAACATGACGACCAATGTGTGTGAAGAAGCGTGGAAAAGAGCGACTAGGTGAACACGTGTACAAATTCAAACAAAAAGGCGTTGATGGCGGAATACACCAGGGCCAGCGGCCGGGTGTTCAAATACTTTGTAGTTGCGCCGTGGGAGACTTTGGAATGCCAGGTTCAAGTCCATGACAATCAAGTATTCCAACAACACCAACAACATCGCCGTTATGCGTCCATTCCGTCTGGCCCCCTTCCATCACCATGCCATCCAACCTTATTTCCATCCAAGCATAGCCAGCCGAGACTCCGATTAGCCACAAGGGCTCCGAATTGGCCAAAAACATGGCGCCCGGGCGGTATGGGCTTGTCTTGTCTTGCTGGCTCGCTGTCAAGCTTGTCCCCGTCCGCACATGGGATGTACTAGTAGTAGTAAACTCGCAATGGTCCGTCTGATTGGTCCGCTGGCAGTCCGTTGATGATATTAGTGCGAGACATGGCGGGAGACGACGATGCGCCTTGCATGTCCGTCCGAGGATTGGCGTGTCTGAGGTGCTGAAATGTCATGTGCAAGCCTTCAATGTCGGACGCTGTTGCTGTGACACCTGCAACCAGACGCAAATTGTGATGATTCACCTGCGAACTCGAATTCAGCCTCATACGCGTGACTCTGTACAACCGCATCCACAAGTCTCCCCTGTTGCCAAAGAGACAAATCTCTCGTGGGACTCACATGCGTAATTTTGCCTTGTACAACATGCAGAGAGAAGCCTCTCGAGTCTCTGGTCAAGATTCCTCCGCCATGTCGTGATCCGGGTGAATCAGCTTTCCGAGACACAGTTCAACAAAAGAGTAGTTATTGCAGTCGGTGGGGGACGGCTCACCTGAGTAATATCCCGGGTATCGAATACAAATTGCCCATGTTGAATTAGAGCCCCATTGTGCCGACAAGGTCCATCATCTCTCGAAATCCTAGCCACGATGGATACGACGCAGGGATATCAACAGATTGCCGAATGAATTCTCCGGTGTGAACAAGCACGAGCACAATGGCAAACAGCAAAAGTCAAATGACATATTTCATATTCTTACATCAACATCATGTACAACATGTTTCCTATGAACCCGTCTTCTCTGGTTCCGGAGAGCTCCTTCCAGACTTTTGTCCCGCACTGCGCAAAACCCGTCCGCTGCCTTCGGTAGAAGACCCCTCAGTGGAAATGGTGGCCTCCTTTGTCAGGGGCGACGGTGCTTCTGGCGTGACTGAACGGGAATCTGTTCCGGACCGTTTCGACTTGGACATGGAAATAGACGATTGCTTCTTCCGGCGCTTTTCTGACGCAGAGCTGGGACGGCGGCCGAGCTGGCCATCGTCCAAGTCCAATGTGGGTGTTTGACTTCGGGACGAGCTTGTTGACGGACGGCGTACGCTGCCGCCGCGGTTCCTTCGCACTTTCTCGCTGCTGGAGTGGCGGTGCAGAGTCTTGTGTGACTGAGGTTTGCGCTGGGGAGTTTGCCTCCATGGCAGCCACCACAACCAACCGTATGTCTGCTTGGCCAGGCTGCGATCATGTTCCTTGACCTTTTTCCGTAACAGTGCGCGTCGCTCGTTTTCTCTCTCCCAATATTCGGTGCGGTACAGTTCCCAGTTCTCTCGAAAGGTCGGTGAGAATGGCTTAGGTAGTAGGAGGAGCTTGACGTAGTCACCTCCGGGGGCCAGGTCCTCCTCATGTCCACCTTTTTCCTCGTCGTCGTGTGGAAGCACCAGCATTGGATGGCCCTCGGCAGACAGCTGGAGCTCCCTTTCCGTCTCCCGCAACAGCCAAGGCTCGACATGGCGGTATGACGAGCTTGCCGTGTGCGAAAACAGGCCATACGTCAGGAAGAAACCAATTGTCGACAGAGCCTCGGCCCACCACGGACGGCGTATAATGACAAGCTTGCAGTTGAAGCCACGCAGGCCCCTGTTTGATATTGCGAACCACCGGCGCGGCCAACGGATGCCGCGGTCCCAGATGCCGGTTCCCCAGACCAAAATAGCCGTGATGATGCCGCCCATAAAGCACACCTTCTGAGCACCTTCCAATGCCCAATAGATGGAGCCTCCGACGCCGCGGCCGTCCTCGCGAGGGGCAAAGTACAGCTTGTAGCCAAAGAAGGCGACCCACAGCGTCAGCAGCATCAGGAAGAAGGTATGGTGGCGTCTTCTAGCCCGAAGTTCGAGGAATTGGGCTCGCAGGGAAGCCTCGAGAATGAGGAGATTCAGGTAGACCATGGACGGAGAGCTCGGCGCGTGGTTGAGAGGGTCGCCCTGCTTGCCACCGGCGGGTGCGATGGGGGTCGGGCCGGATGTGGTCTTGATGTTTGCCGCACTGACGGGGGCGCCCTTGACAATGGAATCGATGTCGTCGGCCATGGTTGCGGCGGTTGCGGCAGTCGAGGCAGCACGTCAGCGCGAGGGAGAGCGTGACTGTCGGAGGAATTGACGATGATTGAGGCTGGATCGCAGCCGATCAGCTGAGGCGATGTGCCATGCGGTCGCGGGGAGATGGGTATCAACGAGAGGCACGAAATGACCAAGCTTGTGCTGCAGGGCGACGAGGAGGGATGTAGTCGAGTCGACGTGGGATGCAAATGTTGAGGATGGAACCAGTTGACAGCCCGCACCGAGTACATAGAGTATGTACATACATGTGGTGCTCTCGGTTAGTGCAGTCTGGTTAGCGCCGATACGGATACGCCTGGCGCGGCAAATCTGCCTTTAACGTTGAATGTTGACAGAGTACACCGCCCGCGCATGTGCAGCAGGTACGTACCAACCTTGAATGTAGTACTAGGACTATCGCCGCATCGCCAATTGCACCTCCAAGTGCCGCCCACGTTGAAATGCATGTGGGTTGAAATGGCCGGCAACGTCGTCACTTGAAGGCGTTCAAGCATTTGTCTCGCCAACAAAAAAGACCAAGCACCCATCCTACGCAATCCGATATCGTTGCCACCAACTCCGCAGGCAGCCTACGGACTTTTAGTCATTCTCAGTAACTACGTAAGTACCTAAGTAGCATCTCAGCCGCAGCCACCACCAGACCGCAAAAATCGGAACAGTCCGCCCGCTAGTGCCCCGGCCGCCTCATCAGGTTTGATGTCATCGGTGTCCGGACTGACCCAAAATCCGAACGCCAAACGCTCAAGCCTGTTAACTCCGCCATTACAAGCGCAAACCGCGTGCCGCACTATCCATCCCCAGAATTGAGCCTTGCACAAGGGGGAAATCCTATTTTCGTCACTTGAAAGGGTGCCTGGGGGCCTGCTTGGATTAAAACCATCCGCCTGCCCCCCCACGCCCAGACCCCAGACGCTCGGGCAATGCAAGCACTTCTTCGACCTTCACACGCTGCCACTGCAGTATTGCAACCATCACGACTCGCCCTCGCTTCTTCTGCTTCATTTCCGTTTTCATCCTCGTCTTTCGACTCTTCCTCGGCATCTGTGTCACACCCGTCTTTCAAAATGTCCAACGTCGAGGTTCCCGACAACCTGAAGCAGCAGAAGCCTGCGCGGGGAGGCCCGCCATCTGTGTACTTTCCTCTGGGTTACAAAGACGCCGCATATCAATGGGTGAGTCTTCTTTGTGCCCGCGCATAGTGACTTGCTCAGCTGATCACTGATCATTTTGCGCAGTGGACAAGTGTCACACCTACAATGGCAGAGCGCAATGTCCTCTCTCTGGTTCCTTACCTCAAAGAAGCCGTCGACAGCATCACTTCGACCCCAGTCTCAACCACGGGTACGCCCGATCCCTATGGGACCAGAACATGGCGCCGCTCACTCGTCCAACTCTCTGGCAAGAACCGTGCCCTCAACGAAATCTGCATCGAGCGACAAGGCGAACAAGTCCAAGAGACGCTCGTCATGGTCCACGGATACGGCGCCGGCCTTGGCTTCTTCTACAAGAACTTTGAGCCCATCACCCGCATCCCAGGCCTCAAGCTCTACGCCCTCGACATGCTGGGCATGGGCAACTCGTCAAGACCGCCCTTCAAGATCCACGCCAAGGACAAAGAGGAAAAGGTCAAAGAAGCAGAGGACTGGTTCATCGATGCGCTCGAAGAGTGGCGCCAAGCCCGCAAGATCGAGCGCTTCACTCTTCTCGGTCACTCGCTGGGCGGCTACCTCGCCGTTTCCTATGCAATCAAGTACCCGGGACACTTGAAGAAGCTCATCCTCGCATCTCCCGTCGGCATTCCCGAGGACCCATACGCCGTCAACGCCAACCTCCCCGAACCCGAGGAATCAACACTCCAAAACGAATTCACCCAGGACCAGCAATCCGTCACCGAAGGCCGCGGGACGCCCCCCACCCCTCCCAACGGACAGGCAGCAAACGCCCCCAAGCGCCCTCTGCCAAACTGGCTCGTCTGGCTCTGGGACGCCAACATCTCCCCCTTCAGCATCGTCCGCATGGCCGGCCCGTTTGGCCCCCGCTTCGTGTCGGGCTGGAGCTCCCGCCGCTTCAACCACCTCCCTCCCGAGGAAGCCCAAGCCCTCCACGACTATTCCTTCTCCATATTCAAGCAAAAGGGCAGCGGCGAATACGCACTAGCCTACATCCTCGCCCCCGGCGCATACGCCCGCCGCCCCGTCATCAACCGCATCCACGAGGTCGGCCGCCAGCCCATCCCCCAGGCGGACGGCAGCACCGGGGCCCTCAAGGAGACCGGCATCCCCATCGTCTTCATGTACGGCGAAAACGACTGGATGGACGTGGCAGGGGGCCTGGCAGCAGAGGAGAAGCTAAAGGAGGCCAAGGTCCGCGCCCTTCTCCACGGAACAGACGACGAGAAGCGCAACGAGAACGGGAGCGTAAAAGTCGTCATCATTCCCAAGGCTGGCCATCATCTGTATCTTGATAATCCCGACGATTTCAATCGTCTGTTAACAGAGGAGATCGAGGAGACCAGGGCTGCTGGGAAGAAGCGACCCGCGCTATAGACAAGATGGGAATAGCGACTGGAATAGGCA